CTTGTCAATAGTATCACGAAGACGTGTAGCAAATTTCATGAAAATCAGTTAAATAGTTATCGAGAAATCCTGACAACCGACTTTAGAAAAAGCGTTTTGCGAAAAACGCATTTAAAGATTTGAGTGATGGAGTGCAACTTCCCAAAGTTCTATCTTTAAAACTACTACTCCTATCGACTTCAAAATTCAATACAATATTCTAGATGAGTTGTAGAATTTAAAAAGATAAACAAAAAAATTTTTTTGAAAGTCCCAAACCCATGTAACCCCTTAAATATTTGAGTGCTGGGTATAAGAGCCATTAAAAAGTGCAACTTCCCAAAGTTCTATCTTTAAAACTACTACTCCTATCGACTTCAAAATTGAATACAATATTCTAGATGAGTTGTAGAATTTAAAAAGATAAACAAAAAAATTTTTTTGAAAGTCCCAAACCCATGTAACCCCTTAAGAAAGTAGGACACTGTATGTTAAACTGCATGTTTTACGAATTATTCTATCTCTCGTATGTGTACACGAGTTTTATTCGAAATCTATAGATACTAATAGGAAAAGAAAAGTATTCGTATAGTAAATATGTGCATATATATGTGCATAATATGCACACATACTTTTGTGTCCACTTATTCCCCATAGTAGATAGTAACGAAGAGGATTTACGATAAAAACAGTTTGTAACACTTTTACGGTAGGACAAATCTGTATAAAAGGGGTTTAAAGGAGGAGACAAATATGGGGAAAGTGTCCTCATGAATTTTAGGATTGATGTATAAGCCACAAAGGATTAAATAAAACGACAGGGGTAGTGGGATGGGTGAGTGTTGAATAATGAATAATTTCGGACTAGTCAAATTTGTTTTTTTTTCCTTTTTCTGCCTAACAGAAAAGCGGAAGGATAATAAATATATTCGAGGAAAAAAAAGAAAGAGAGAGAGAGAGAGACTTGCCTGTAAACGACATATCCAGCATCATTGGTCAACTCGCAGATCCATGGACATGGTTTCACCGGTACTATGATGGTGGTAGTATTGAAAGGGCCGTTTTGCGTAAATGTCACGTTGTGCGTGGGATGAGACTAGAACGATGAATATATACGAATATATATATAT